AAACTTGACCTGAGTGAGCATAAAGACAAGTAAATTCTTATTTAATTTTCAGGGGTTAGGGGAGGCTAGATAATTGAATCTGTAGGTAGGTTCCAATGTACGAACGAACGAGCGACAGTTGGGACAAACAGAAAAAAAAACAAATAAACAACAGGGTCGATAAATGTTTTATGCATATACATACGGATGTTTGTTTTTTTGTTTGTACACATTCCACTAGCCAGCCGGGTTGTTTGACAAGTCAATTCACTATAATCAGTTTATTTGTTGACTAAATTGAATAAATGAGTAAATAAATAAACGGAGAGAGAGTAAAACACGGTATCCAAAAAAAGCATACAAACAGTACAAAAACATGAATTATAAGGGTTCACAGTCGTCATCATCATCCAACGGAGAGAGAGAGAATAGAAACAAAGGGAGGAAGTAGACAGGATCAACGGTGTCTCAGTAGTATTACTAATACTACTACTATTACTAATAATAATAGTGAGTAACAATTGGTGAATATAATGTATCATTATATTTAAGCACTATGACCGACCAATGTAGACAATGCAGTATTACACATTTATATGCAGATAGACATAAACACACACACACATGCATATATAGATATATATACGCGTACACCTGATCATCAACCTGACAAGGATTAGGAACCTGGACACTGATTTCACTGTAGAAATTTTTTTAAATGTTTTTTAAAAAAAAGAGTTTAAGAAAGTATGAAGTATATGTGAGCAAAGTAGTATTGTCGAGCAGAACAACAACAACATCACTCCATTGAACAAACAGAACGATTGAAGCAGTAAGAAAAAGTCTAAGCGAAGGAAACAAAAGGAGTACTATGTAAGAAATAACACTTCATTGTGATTATTATTATTATTGATTTGTATATAAGGATCCTGAGAGAGATAGGAAGAGAGGGAGGGAAAGAGAGAAAGAAATTGAAGAATCTTATGTAGCAAAACAAAAAGGTCAGTTGCCCAGATTTGTCTGATTTTATTTTTTCCCTTTAACCAAGAATGTTGGCGGCAGCAGAGGAGAGAGAGTGAGAGTTGGGATCTAGATGAACAATCAGCTGTAACAAAAAACAGTAGAATAAAAACGAGATAAAAAATCAAACAAGAAGTACACAAAATTGTTCATACGTATTGTCACGTATGCTTACCTGGTAACGATTATAGGAGAGAGAGAGGGAGAGAGAGACGGGGAGAATAAAGTGAATCGATGAAAAACATTCGAAGTGAGCCAAAAATCAGAGAGAAACAAGTGTTTATGTATAATATAGAGGCAAATTGTAAACCGACACCGAGAATGAACATATTTGACAGGATTGTATTGAGTTATTCCCATACACGCATACACATACATTGTGTGTGTGTGTATGCGTGTATATAAACTTCATCAGTGTGTAGAATATCTGCATAACAAACAGGAGGAAACCAAAAAAAATCTGTCTCAGAAACAATATGGGCGCCATTCGTCATGCACACTGTTAATAGGTAATGGGCGTACTTTTGTGCGTATGAATCTCTACTCAATCACCAGTGCATATAAACTCTTGTGTGTATATTGAATATCAAAAATGTTAGGAGGTTTGTTTCCCCTTACAGTCTTCGTTGAAGAAACAACTGAAAACAACGACGACAACAACAACAAAGAAGAAGGAGGCACATATAGATGAAACAACAAAAATAAATAAATAAATGAAGAATTGAAGAAAAAAACAAAAACCGGCAACTAGAAGATCTATTCCAGCAGATATTCAGCCTGAAAACTTTTCCATATGATAGTTATATCCTGAGTAAAGATGAAACATACCATGTCAATCCGTCGTCTTCACAAATAACAACCACATCATTGTCAACAGGGTTAGATCAAAATAATATAAACACACCTCTGAATGGATAATAACAAAATCGTTTGCTCACGTGTACAAAATAGCCGAATATAATAATAGTAATAATAATGATGATGATTAAAGAGTCATGAATAACTTTCTTTTTGTAAAAACACGGTAGTAATAGATTGGGCGCTCAAACAATTAAACAAAAGCATGAATAACAAAACTGATAGAAATGTGTGTAGAGTGAAATGGGGCTAGAAACGGAAGATAAACTGGATTGCATGCATGCATGTATGCGTTTGTGTGTGTGTGTGCGTTGTCTATGAATGTGTACTCATCTACACTATATATATATCCTGTGGTCTATACGCCTATTTGCCTGTCTGTCTATCTATTTATCTATCCACTAGTCAAGTGTTCCCCTGTTTTGAAAATTGAATAAAGAGGGTAAAAAAGACAACCAAACTGTTTTAATAATCACGCACACAAACACTCACGCATAAAAAGGAATACCAAAAAGGCAAAAAAAACAATTTGTCAATAACCGGGGTATACAGCTGTTTATGATTCCTGGTAAGGTGGCGCAAAATGTATTACATATATATATATATATATATATATATATGTATAGCTGAGAAACTCCACCAGAGAAAAGGAAGTCGGCAAGTGAGGAGGAGGGATGACGGAAAACAACTCGAAAAGAGCACACTATCGATTTACAAAGACGTGAGGGTGGGAGGAAGAGAAGAGGAATAAGGAATTATCGGTTAATCAATCTACTTCTGCTGCTGCTACTACTACTACTACTACTACTATTCACGATGGAACAGATTGATCCTTAAGCTGATCATGATAACAAGAATAACAAAGGAGCAATAAGAAGTAAGAACACATTCAGACACACACATGAAGTACCTTCATCAAATCAAGAATTGATCAGTACATTCTCTTTCATTGATATGGTATAATTAAAAAAACAACTTGTGATAGTAGGTAGTTACAGTAAGAGTAGTAGTTGTAATAGTAGAGAGCAATAATACTGTATACTGTGCGTTCTCATTTTTAATCAAGAATCATTAGTAGCATTGCTTTCTTGAAAGGGAACAGAGAGAGAAAGTGTATAAAGCAGAAGAAAAACGTCAAACAACAAAAAGAGAAACAGTAGCCGCAGTAATACTAAACACTGAGGCTGGGAGATCGAATTAACAGGAGATAACAGTTAGTTATTAAATAATCAAAGTTAATCTGTTCATCATATGTAGGTGTGTAGGCGCGCATATGTGATTCACTTTACGTTAAATTAGACAGGAAAAACAAAAAAAAGTATGAGTTGAATGGATGAAATAAGAATAAGATAACAAAGAAAACAACACAAAAATTCAGTGAATATAAATACTTATATATATATATATATATATATATATATATATATATATATATATATGCATCATATGAAAGTGAGAACATGACAATAATGATGATGTTAACGATAATGACAATAACAAATATTCTAATAATAACGCGATTAATAAACAAGTTATCCCTGAGTTTTACTGCATTCAATTACACGCACACAAATGGTATCACTAATGAAAAGCGTTTCCGCATTATACGCATATATGAATGACCTGATTTCTTTTGTTATCTCATCTCAATATGATAGAGCAGTAGTAGTATGATGCAGATATATCCATCTTCCTTGTATGCTAATCGTTCAGAAGTTGACAATAATTCCATAATTATCTGTATCAGTCCAGTGAGCACCACTCATTGACTCACTCATCCACTGTGATTTCCAATCATCAGCACAACAAGAGCCGTTAAAAAACAATCAATTGGACAAGAAAAACACACACATAACAGAACAGGAAAAAAAGTTACTTCCAGAAGAAAAGTAAAGTGGAAGGAGACGACGAGGACGTAGACGAAGAAGCAGAAGACGACAATACAAAGTATGACGTGTAAAGAAGTAAGAGAAAGATTTTGAAGACAATTCAGCTGTTACACATACACCTACACACACACACACATGCATACATACATACGTATCTTTCTATGAAGTACAATAAATACTGCTTATCAAAAACAGGTCTCTCTGTATCTGTGTGTGTGTGTGTTACAAAGTAAACATTGACGATAAAATTGCCAATAAGTATCGATTTCTAAAAAGAATGTAGACACAAGAAGGCAGAAGAGAAACATGATTAAAAATGACAACATCGACAATAAAATTCTCCTCACAGAATTTATCATGATAACAGGATTATGAGTTGTCAATGAAGAAGATGGTACAGCGCAGCAGAAGAGTGAAACAAGACACACGCACACACACATATACACAACATAACTGATACTGCTAATATATGTTTACTCTCAAGAAAGGGAAAAAATGTAAGACCATATATAAGAGATACATAGATAGAGATGGATAGAGATAGTTAGGTAGATAATATCACCAAATACATATTATATGTATATATATAACCTGAGCCAAGGATATTTGCTTTTTCCCTTCACTTTTGCGTGCTTGATATATATACACACACACGCACGCACCGGGACACAAACTACTCTAATTTAAAAAACAGTAGTATATGTGTGTTTTTTTAAAAAAGGAAGAGAAGAATACTCATAGGTAATAAATGTACAACAGATGTGAATGAAATTGGTACTTCAACGATTAATCAATACAACCACAGTGTACACATAAGTATAAAACAATAGAAAACTCTCCACAAACATGAAGCCAGTCTGTAGATACATACAGACAATATTTTCAGGGTTATAAGTGTGTGTGTGTGTGTTGATACGAAGAAAGGGAAATTAGCTTAATAATGCAATAATACTAATAAAGGTAGTTGATGACAATGTCGTCAGCAAGAACAGTGGTAGTGGTAATAGTAATAGTAAAGGGAACAAAATGCTTATGTCATCTCTATTGTACAGCTTATTATTAATTTAAACAAAAGAAAACGTGAGGTGGTTGGTAGTGAACAGAAAACTGGAAATACAAAACATTTCCATTTGCACACACACACACACGCGCATACGCACACAGTCAACGTTATCGTAGATATCAGTGGTGGAGTTGTGGGCGGCGGCGGCGGTAGTTGGCGGGGGGGGGCGCTTTTTATTTGTTTCTTTTTTTCATCTTTAGCATTACCAATAGTAGTAATCATAATGGAGTGGTGATAATAATGGTAGCAGAAAAGAGTAGTAGGGAGATTGGTGATGGGGAAAACTAGACAGAAGGAAATAAAAAGAAAGATTCTATTCTGCATAATATTCAATAGGATAAATATAACCTTGAGATAGGTAGTAATAGACTATTCGTAACCACGTCTATTGGAAATGAAAAGTTAATTATCCAGTGGCATGCGCGCACACGCACACACAAATAGATAGATAGATAGATAGATAGACAGGGGGGGAGGAGAAGAAGAGGAGGAGGATGAACACAAAGAAATATTCATCAAAGATATCGACAATAATTGGGCCTATTTGATGCACAATTTCAATTGATCAATTAATCATCAACTAATTAATATCTGAATCATCATAGTTATTCAACTTCTGTTCTCTTTGTTCATCTTCTGTTAACTGGAACATTTCAAGATATAATTGTGGAAAATCTAAATGTGGTTTATCCTGACGTAATTGAGCAAGTACTTCATGATGTTCTGCATTTAATTCTTCTAACATTGGTGAAATATGAGATAATGCAGCACGTCGTTCTTCCAATGAATGACCCACTTGATTATGAATATAAAAAATAGTACGAAAGAAAAACAAAACAAAATAAGTTGAACGAATTACCTGTACATTGAAGAGACATATTTACCCAATAAAGATTTAGACAAACACGTCTGTCTGATAAACTCTTAAATTAGAAATTAAATGAGATTTGCCTACAAAGCCCAGCTGGTTAGCGTGACTACTTTCAACTACTTATTTCTGTAAATCAGTAGTATCAAGTCGATTTGTTTGCTTTTTCGATTGCCAATAATGACATCCAGGATATTAGATATATAGAGTAGTCTGACTATTTTTTAGGTTTCCAAAGGAAACTGTGCTCAAAATTCACCTCGATCTGAGTACCCTGTAAATTGTTAACTGATATGGATAAACTGATATGATATAGATTAACGTTTATTGCTGATATGCTGATCGGTGTCCAGTCTCGAAATAAACCAATCAGAATTAGCCTACGTCAATCAGCGCTCCCTGTCTTATTGATAATGAGATTATAGGCTAATTGACAGACCCTAAGTGATATTTTGAGTTATAGACTATTGTGTAAGATACAGAGTGGCTGACAATGTTGTGCGTTCTTGCGCAAGTAATGCTACCTGCCAGGAGGGGAGGACCAGTAGCTGTCGTACAACGTTGTTAGTGGTCATAGCTCAGAGTCCCTCTTTCAATCTAAACGTATTGAAAAACATAAACATCACTGATAAGACTGATCTCAAACGAGTGAAAACAGTCACGTAGTGTGTGTTTAAATCACTTCGAATTGGCTAGAAAACAAAATCGTCTAATTTGAGTAGTTCCAAATATTCACATCAATAAGTGGAATGTAACACATAACAACTTGAAAATATGATAGAAATGAAGGAATGTCAACTAATAGCAAAAAGGGCACGCCACATATGTTTATCAACACACGCGGGTGACTGACTTGCAGTCAAACAGTACGCATAACATATAATCTAGTACGTGAATGTGTACTTTGGTAGTTAGGTTGTATAAATACAGAATTACGTAACATTACTTTGTCTATGATATTCATGAAACTTTCCTTTCCTCACTGCGAACAGATGCCTGATGAAAAGGTTAAGGAAATAAAGTATGTGACAGAATTAATAATTTCCATTGAAAACTAATTATTTAAAGACAGTTTGAGAGCTGTTCACAACACTGTTGGACTAAATATTAGGTTGATCAGTCCACCAATCACATTTCTTTCCTAGCTTTACTTAGATGATGGTCATCGTAAAGACTGGGAAAATGTCGAAAAAAATTAGATCCTACTTAACACAGTCGCCTAAATATTATCGGAATCAAACTTTATCCTTCTACAAATATATACATTCATTACACAATTCGATTCATTAATCCACAAAGCTTAAGCCTTTAAAAAGGACAGAATAAGAAGATATCAAGAGATAGCGAATGAAGACGTAAAAAGGATTAACACTATAATAATCCTAGTAGTTGTAGCAGTAATAATAACAATAATAATAATGGCACTTACTAGAAACGATATGATCAGCAAGAACTTGTCCAGCTAGATTATATAAATGGGCTGGCGTTACAGGATCATCCAAACCTTGACGATCTATTACAGGTGATGAAAAGCAGAAAGGAAAGAGTAAAACATAAGAATCATGATAAATTGTAATCACGCATATATATATATATATATATATAATATAATATATCCTGGTGTCCTTAACTGCAATCGGATATCACTGTGCGTCGGTGGCACGGTGGTTAGGACTCTCGCCGACCATGCACATGGTCCGAGGTTCGATCCCCTTCCGACGCACACCTGATATCTATGGTCGGCCTGCAAAATTCGGGCTACCGATATCCACGCTAAAAATTCCATACCTGTACCAAAAATACAGTGTGGAATCAAGCTGTAATCAAAAATTAAAAAATAAATAAAATATGACTGTATTCACCTGCTGATTAACAGTACCTAGTTTTTAATTTATTCCTTTTCTACGTTCCGAGTGGAACAACATAGGGTTTCAAGCTAGAGCTTTTGAAGTTTCAGTAGCAGTGTGGTATTGCTTTTGACGTGTTGGGGTTGTTAGCCTCATATCCAACTTTCCCTCTATACCCGCTGTCTTATTATAGACTTAGCGGGGTTTAAGAGTCAGCTGATCGGGGATCAAACTTCGGACCATATGAATCATTGGCAACAGATTTACCGCTGAAGCACCGATGAAACAACGTGAGTTGGGCAGTACCTAATGGTTTTTCTACGAATGATTTACGTACGATATTTTCTTTCTGTAAATGAATGAATTCGAAACATCACTGAGAGATCATAAGTTTCCTTTCCATTGAATATAGATCTAAACATAGTACAACATGGTTCACAAATAAATTTATATATTTACGATTATACATTTTTTTTCCTTCACGTTCCCAGTGGAACATAGGGCTTCAAGCTAGAGGCTTGAAGTTTCTGTAGCAGTGTTTATTTTACAGGATGGGGTTGCTAGCCTCATACCCAACATTTCCTCTTTACCAGCATTATTTCTGGCTTGGAGAGGTAAGGGAGTGCGTCGGCCAGGGATTGAACCCCGGAGCATGTGCATGGTCGGCGAGCGTCCTAACAGCTGTGCCACCGACGGACACGATTATACACTACTGAATGACTATGAGTAGTACTCATTAGTCAGATATCAATACTTTAGTGATTAATTTATCAACGTTGAGTTATAGACAATTAGTGTACTTTATGAACTTTTTTTGTTAAAACGATAACAATCAACAGTGTGGAATAAAATGAATGCATACGCAACACAGTTACACAATTTGTATAAAGTTGAAAAATGGTGTGTTATTGAAAAGTGCATAAATAACATGGATTGAGAATAACTTTGTGATATTTATAAAAGCTATCCTAATTCACTAGTCTGACACATGCACACACACACACACAGACACTTATGAAAATAAACAAAATAAAATGACCTTTTTCTTATAACACGCAAAATGTCCACATAGAAATGTGAAATACCAGCCAATAAACACAGATAGTCTGTCTTATTCTCATTGGCCTTGACCGAGAAAGATCCCAAGTTCTTGTTGCAGTTGTTGTTGCGTAGAAAAGAAAGAGAGAGAGAGATTAAGCAAACAGATACAAACAGTGACGCATACATAAATAGACAAGAAAGAGAGAGAGGGTGAGAAAAGGAGAAAGAAGGAGGGAAGGAAAGAGAGACAATACATTAACCACCTTCAATGCAAATCAACTATTTTTCGTCGTCAACAATTTAGACTAAATCCAGGTCAAGGTCTTTAGCATTTGTGATACTATTTAAGTGATATATATATAAAGGAGAGAGAGAGAAGAGAATTCGAGACGTCTGACCCCGATGTAAGCCAGCTGTATTATTATTTCGTAAAAAAAAATAGAAAGAGTACAAAACAACAATAAACTACTAGTACATTGCATTGGAGGAGAATAAATACCAACAATATTCACGCTTATTAACACTGTTCAACGGCAACAGTGTTATAGGGGAGAAAGTTTAAAGATTGAACACAAAATAATGATGCAAGATAATGTGTGATAGACACAAGTAACTAAGCTGTGAAAACAGAAGCGCAGGTTAACAGAAGTTTTGATGAGATGGTAAAAGGTAACAAAAAAAATGGATAAATCATACGGTAAAAGACAACTAATCACTGTTACTTTAACAGGAGAGCACTGTTTCAACAGGCAGAACTGTGAGATTGAAATATTCACAAAATGATATGCGGAATAATGAATTTTTCTGACGACCATATCGCCATTCAGTTAGTCAGTCTCGTCACTGAGTTACACCTTCAACCATCTCAACTTTTTATATTTGAACTTTGGTAGTAAATTTATTTATTCACACGATCAACGACCAACTCGTCCGTTCTCATTCGATGGGTCCTACTCGGGAGATAGCCTGTCACGAGATGTCATTCAACGGTCTCCTGAGCGTGTGCCCAATCCACCTTCATTTTGTTCGGCATATTTGCTCATTAATAGGTTCTTCGTTGGTTGGTCGTCTTCGTTGGTTCTCTGAGTTTCTACCGCTAAATTCTTTCTGGTAAACCGACCATTTGGTTACCAGTATGGAACTAGCAAAGACAGCTGTTGACAAAGGTCTGCACTAGACCGTTCATGACGATTGCACCATGTTTCTGACCCATATAGATGAACTGACTGACTTAACATCGGTATTGAACAGAATCCGAATTTTGTTGTTTATGCTGCAGTGACGTGTAGATTTCAAAACTGATTTCTGAGGGATGAATGTGGGGTCTTGCCTTTCCGATTCTGGCTGGCTTTGACATCGTCATCCATTCTGACACCTTGTGACTGAAACAATTCTTCCTAGATAAGTAAAGGAAGTGAACTCTTTCAAGTTTTTCCCGTTGATAGTGATTGGTACTTGTTGTTGTAGTTGGTTGGTTGGTTATCTTCATCACCTCTGTCTGTTGTATGCTCCCTCGGAGTCCTGTCTTCGCTGACACAGTTGTTAAATGCACTCAAATAATTCTGTCTATCCATTGTGTATTTAAATTAACTTTTTTTTTAAAAAAATAAAAGTGTTTTGACAATTTCTACAAAAATAAGCTTGAAAAACTTTCTCTTATTCGATATTAATTACATTAATCACTTATTATTTTATTTTTTTTTGAAAATTTTAATAAGCAATTAATTAAACAAAACAAAACAGGTGTTTCGTACCAGTTTGAGGATTTGTCAGAAGTATACATCTACGACTCAATCAGGAATCGAGAGTAGAACATTTAGGCTATTAGGAGGCAAGCATGCTGCCATCATCCCACTGGGACAGAATGCAACGATGCATGAACTTCTGTCAATTTGCGATATGTTACAAGCAATTATTTAAACTCCCAAACGACTTGGTGGATTCCACAGGTAACGACTTTCCAATGCAACTTCAGCAAGTCCAATTTTTCTAGTCAGCCATTACTCAGCCTATTTATTTAAATTCTGTAATATATTCAACATAGTGTAATTAAAGAAGGTTTCAGTGAACGAAACATTCATTTATTAGGAAATCTGAATTTTGAATTATAGAAATCCTACTGTTTATTTCCAAAGACATACTAAGTAAACACTGTCTGTATCAGAAGATGGATCTGTGGATTTCCTGTTTGAGACAGGGAAACTTCAATCAGTGAAGAAGCATTTCCTTCATTCAAACCTAAACGACACTGAGAAGGAATTCGACAGGCAATCAAAGCCGAGTCTTGGAAGGAGTCGGAATAACAAGAAAATGGGGGGGGGTAGTATTGTTTATTCTGTAAACTTCAAGGCATTACTACTTTATTTTTTCCAAGGGAACTAGTTACAGTCAACAAGGTGGACGCAGCACTATCAAAGATACTGACCACCTACAGATGAGAATTTCGAGAACTTGGATTACAGCTTTGTTATCAAATCTGATCATATGATCACCGTGACACTAGTTTTAAAATAATAGGGTTGAGACAATAAATTGTAATTCAGTTGTTCCTTATACTTGCTCAGATTATTTATTCATCCAAGCAATCATATATTTATATCCTAAATATATTTCGATTCGATGCAATAATATTCGTAGCAAAGTTAAACTATAAGCCTACGAGCCCAAAAGTGAACCAACGACTTTGAATCAACCAGCCACGTTATAAAGGTGAATTTAGTTAGTATTAGTAATGAATGCAGTTCAGGATATAGGGCTTCCCCAATGGTTTTCTAACTGGTGTCGACTAGTTGTGATCAAACCTGTGACCAATCAGATCTCTACAAACCAACACTTGATCATTAATATGATACTCATTAGTGACTGGCTGAAGTTACCTGCAGTTTCTGGTGAGAAGTCGTACCTAGTTAGGTCCAACAAGTCAGGTAAGAGATCAGTTACTTGCCTATGATATTGACTGGCTGTTGCGCCACATGTATTGCGAACCAGAATTCACCGAATGGCTATTGGATCTGATCGCAGTGGCTGAATGGCCTACAAGCTCACCTTCTAATCGGAAGGTCCTGGGTTCAAACCCCAGTGGATCTGTACTGGTGAAGAGTCTCAAACCAGAACGGAACAGCTGTAGAGTTTTCCAATGATTCTCTAACTAATGTCAACTCATGATCGAATCTGTAGAAGGCTTTTCGTCACGAAGTGCCTTAAACTAAACGCAAACTAGCAATTCCTAACTGTAAGCATGACGCTAACTTTCTGTCTGGTCATTTAGATGAATGTCAACCCCCTGTATAAGAAATTGGGAGTCATTCTCATATATAAAAATAGAGTATCATGTTTAATACGCATACACTTTTTTGCATGGGTTCACTCTAATCAGGGTCGGTTGTTTGTAGTCACTGATGGGCACGTTCCGCTGCGGTGGTGGTGATGGGGTGGGGCATCTGATATTCTAACTTCACCATATTTTTTAAAGTTTACATTATTGAGTTTATCTATAACAATGATGGTAATAATTCTGTGTTACTCAACTTCTCACAAGTTGCCATCCCACGACTGATTGACTGATCACCCCCCACCCTACCTCACTCACACACACACACACGGAGAAAGCATGGTCACGAGGAAAAAAGGCAATATGTAATAATAAAAAAAAACGTATAGAGATGAAAAAAAACGCTTTCATATTATACAACAAATAAATAATCCCAAACGTAGGAGAAGAAAAAACACTGGAGAGATGAGGAATTCATATACGACAGATAAAAAGTGCTCCTCTTTTATATCGTTAAACAAAAGCGAGAGAAAGAAACCAGAGAGAGAGATAAAATGCGAGTGGAAAAAATGGCTTTTATTTCATAATATGAATGCATGAAACAATAATATCCACATGTGTATCTACATATGGAGAGAGAGAGAGAGACTAGACGAATAATAATAAGTATGTAAGCGATAACCTGAAGTAGTGTTGAAAACAAATGTAACAATAGATAGAGTTAGATATTATTTCTATCAACGCTTGAAACCAACATTACTCGTGACTAGACACACAACCACTCACACATACACGTACGTTCATGCAGAGAAAAATGAATTCAACCATACATGTATTCCCTCTTTCTATCTCTCTCATTGCCCCTCTAAAATCTACGCAAACTCGAACACCTACACAGTGAGACACAATTTTCCCTAAGAGTTTATATAATAATAGTATTCAAAAAGGGGAGTGATTAATTAAACAGCATGAGTATGATAACTCATTTGTTTTTCCTCTCCATTCATTTTGTTACATATAATATCCAACTTATGCAATAATAAAATTATTGTAGTTATCCTGAATTGTCTCAAATAGTGTGTGTGTGTGAGAGTGCTTGCGTGAGTGCGTAAGTGTTCAAGTGTAGTAATTTTCAAGACCCAAGGCTTAGAACAATAGCAATAAAAGCAGGATAATAACAAGACAATTGAAGGATTTAGCAATAGATACATGGATACTAATACGACCCCCCCCCCACAACCACCACCAACCCATCCCACCCCTGCCATTATTGTTACAAATAAATAGGGGAAGATGTAGAGCTAGGAGCAGTATCAGTAGTAATATAATAGTAGCAGTAGGAATAGCAACAACGACAGTGATTAGTACAATATTCCACCCACATCTGTCCTCTCAGACCACCTACATTACCACCATGAAAATAACTCGATTATTTTACAACAAAAAAGAAGTGTTAAAGCAACAACTTGAAAGATGAATTTATACAAGACTATAAAGTAATAAAATTTTCTAAAAATTTAAAAAAATACCAAAATTACAGGAAAAAAAAGAACATAACCAAAACAGGAGACCAAAAAGTAATAAAATTATGAAGAGAGGATGATTATGAACTTCAAGAGTCGGTGAATCATTGAAGAACGAAGTGTACCTGAGGACTGTTTGTTTAACATTTATGAGACTGTTTAGTAATAGGGCATTCACAGCTGCGTACAACAAATTATCATCATATGTCAATTACTTGCAAAGAAATCAATGTGTAAGCTTTATACATAGTTGAAGAAAACCGAAAGATGATAGGACATCTAGGGTGGTATAGTTCAGTATTATTCTCACTGGTGCACGTGTACACTGATATGGTGATCAGTATCCAGCCTGGAAATAAACCAATCAAAATTGGTCTAGATAAAGTATTATTATTATTATATAGTTATTGTTCCCTCGGGTTTCGAATGGAACATATGGGCTTCAACGACACATCTCTACTTTGTTTTATTTTCTACTGTCCCCTTTAGCTGGCCCCACAGTCGCTCATAAGCTCTCATCTCCTCCTCGCACGATCACCTCCGTGTCACCCTCGGATGCCCCACTCCTCCTTTCCCATTCGGTGGGTTCCACTCGAGCTTGCGGCGTCATTCGACGGTCTCGTCAACGTATGTCTGATCCATCTGCATTCTCTTCTAAATATTTGTGGAAAGATAGGTTCTTGGTTATATCTGTTCCCATAGTTTCCTGTTACTAATTCTTTTTAGCCGTTTGATCTTCAATTGGGAGCTAGCAAATGCTTTTCACGATGCACATACCAAGTTTCTCACCTATATTGAAAAACTGACCGATTTAACACCCGAATTTCGTTATTTATGCTGAGTGCAGAAGATTTCCAAACCGATTTCAAATTGATGGCGGTGTATCTTGCTTTTCCGAATGTGGCTGACTGTGACATCTTCATCCATTCTGACTGCCTGCAGCTGAAAGTATCCTTCATAGATAAGCGAGGGAAGTAAACTCTATTAAATCTCTCCGATTGATGATGATTGGTGCTGTTATTTGTTGCTCTATGTTCACTTGAAGTCCTGTCCTCTTTTACCAAACTTTCGGTTTCCGCGTCCAAGTGTCCAGGTCTGTCTAACATTAAACATTAATCATCCACACGCGAAATCCAAATCTTACAGTCTTCTTATCGGTCCAACGTATTCCTGTCTTCTCAACTCCCCCAGTCTGAAGCATAATCCAGTCCATCACAATTAGGAATGTCAATGGTGACAATAGGCAGTCGATTCGTACTCCTGTAATCACTTCAGAGCCTTTTCTGAGATTCCCGTTTTGGATCACCTGACACGTGAATAGTCATTAGCTGTGGGTGAATGAGGTTGATAAAGATTTGGGGCACGCCACAGTGTTGAAGTAGTTTCGAAATTACTTCTCAGTCAACGCTGTCAAAGGCCTATTCTAAATCGATGAAATAAAATAACCTTCACTATTTTAATGACAATGACTACGACTAATTGTGACATATCCTTGATAATTTTTTGAACTATACATTGTTGTGAAGATATAATGTTACTTTCCGTCTCGTCTTTGATGTACTCTTGCCTAAGTTTCAGACTAAGAGATCAGTTAGCTGTTGTATACGTTGCCGGCACAGACAAGCGATACACGTGATTACCGAATCTATCACCAGCTCAACGTTTTAGAAAACATAATATATATACAGATTTTGTTATCCTCTGGTTTGGGACTGATTCACTCTTCATGTTAGATCTCATCACGAATGGACATCAATCAGAGAACCATTGGAAAAGGAAAAGTGTGAAGAGATGTTTCCTTCGACTTTGAGACCTTTCCTCAGTATGTACTCCATTGAGGATTAGACTGAACCAATAAATTTGGGGTTAAAAGGCAAGCACGCTACCAATCAGTCATTGGCTCATGATGAAATCCAACACGAAACTCACTAAGCTGCTATAAAAAACCAACCGTTTGAAAATAAGTTTGTCCTTCATTTCATATTTAATTTTTTGGTCTAGTTGGTTGCAGCTTTGTTACTACTGAAATTACTGTTTCTACTCTTTTTTTTTCATTGAGACACTAGCTGGAGTATCAAATCTTCAAATAACATGGAGAAATTTTTGACAGTTTACAAAAAAGTGAACTGAACAATGTTTGTTTTTACGCTTAAATCTTATTCCGTTACATTTCGAGTGGAACACAGGGTTACACACTAGAGCTTTGAAGTTTCAGTAGCAGTGATGTTTATTTTTTACAGGGTGGGGGTGGGGGTTGCTAGCCTCACAGCCAACCTTTCCTTTTACGGCCTTACTACAGGTTTAGAGAGGTTTAGGAGTGCGTTGGTTGGGACGTGGTTTGTGAGCCACTACACCATATAGTGTTTGAAACCTTACAAATCTGACAAGCATGTGCTACATGCGCATTTGCGAAGGAACTACCTCTCATATCTACATAACAAAAGCAAGAAGAAGTGAAAAAAAGAAGAAAATGAATAAATATCATATCATCAGAAATGGAGAAATGGAATTAAAACAAATTCAAAAAAAGATAGACAAAGGAGCTATCCCACCAACGAAGTTAAAGAAAAAGGTGATGTTTTTCCCATGGGCATACAACACATTTCCTTACGCGGTATTAAGTGAATTCATAAAAGGTGAAAAGCAATAGTGGTAGTAGCAGTAGTAGCAACAACAACAACGAACAACAAGAGCGACCGCAGAAGCGAAGGATAGTCAATTTAAAACAAGTGTTGGTCAATTGTTAGACATGCATTGCTGCTAAACTGTGAGCAGCGAAATAAGGGAAATAAATGAAAATCAAGAAGAAGAGAAAAACACCATACCGCAACAACAACAACACATCACTTACTTTTAAATACTTCCTGAGCACATACCAAAGTTAATTCAATATTATCTAAACGTATTCTATTGAGAAATTCCCCTGAACGTATTAAATGACCAGAGATCGTATGAAACGTTGGAAAATGACTAAGAATAATGTCATGTTCTTCAGGACTTATAAAGAGATAGAAGAAGAAGAAAAAGGATAATGATTTATAAGAAGAAATTTATGTATACATATTTACTTTTTAACTTCTTTTTTGTTGAACAAACCATAGGCATAATTCCCTTTCTGAGGTTACATTCTTTATTGAAATTGAAACCTAGTGACTAACGCCTCGGAGTTTGAAACGATGGGTATTGGATTCACGTTTCAGTGGAAACAACACCATCAATCACTGCGGAGAGGGGTGGTGGTGGTGGTGGTGGTGCGCAAGTACTTTCAACTGATCTGTTCAGAATAAGGTGACATCAGCATCATGAATTCCGAACCATGAACCGAGTAACACCAATATACCCTGATAAATGTACGGTCTTGAAACCAGCTAACTTACTTAATTTAGCTTCGATTTGCGTTAGTGACGGACCTGGGGATAACTTCTTGACGATTTAATGATATATCTTGTCAGTGTCCTGGTGTTATTTATCGACAATAATTAATGCTAGCTGACGTTCCTTTGCTTATCTAGGAAGCATAGTTTTAACTACAGGCATACTTCACGGATGAGAATGTCAAAGTCAGCCAGAATCGGAAAGGTTAGACTGACATTCATCACTCAGAAATCAGTTTGGAAATCTGCACATCACCACAAAATAAAACAACAAAATTCAGATTCTGTTCAATACCGATGTTAAGTCAGTCAGTTCATCTATATGGGTCAGAAACATGGCGTCTGCGTCACGAGAAACATTTTGAACGATCTGGTGCAGACTTTTATCAGCAACTGTCTTTGCTAGTTCCATACTGGTGATCGAATGGTCGGTTGACCAGAAAGAATTTGGCGGAAGAAACTCTAAGAACCAACCAACCGACCAACGAAGAACCTATGAATGAGCAAATATGCCGAAGAAAATGAAGATGGAATGGACACATATTGAAGAGACCGTTGAATGACATCGCGTGCCAAACCATAGCCCTACTGGAATTCGAATTTGAAATGACTCATTGGGTGTGTCCGAGGGTGATGTAAAAGAGATCGTTTGGTAGGGATATGAGAGCTTATGGGTAATTGTGAGGCCAGCTAAAGAGGACCGCAGAGAACAGGAGAAAGTGTAGCTCTATGTTCCACTCGGGACCCAAGAGAATAATAATAATAAGATCGTACTAAGTGACCAGTTAGAAGAAATTAGAAACCAACCCAAAGACTAGGTGGTCTTGTACTCAAACCTTTGCAGATAGGATGTTGTACAGGTTGATTAAAATTTTCAAGCCACAACAAAATAGCAGCTGCTCAGTAATCCCTATCCTCAAGTGTGTGCTTTTTTCAATTGATGATTTCAATGCATAACAAAACTCGACAAGAAATTATCATCCTTAATTGTGAACTAAAAATTTGAAATTTTTGTTTTCAGGCCTAAAACCATTTTTGTCAAAGAGACAGATTTCCATAAATCAAATTTGAAAATTGCAAATTATATATCGCAATTTCGCAAATTATTTTGAAAAATGGAGATTACTGAGATGACAGTATGTGATCTGCTTGATATCATATATAGTAATCAAGACACCAAGCATAATCATATAATGCTATATATATATATATATATATATATATATATATATTCACCTCAAATTGTGTAAATTTCGAATTAATTCGCAAAACTGTGGACTAATTTTCAAATCGCAAGTATAATTTACCCCATCACCAGTTCGCCTAAGTGGCTAATCAGAAATCTGGTGATCTGAACTCATTCGACTCTCCGAGCTGGACCAAAATGAGCTCGGCGGCCCCGGAAAAGCGAAACAGCTGTCCCGTGTTTAGATCACTGCGATCTGTTTACTAAGTGCCACTGTTTGGTGTGAATAGTATACAACTACTCATCTCGATCAGTCAGTAGTATATAGTTTTCGACAAATTTCTAGTTCTGTTGCAGCCAAGATTAAATTTGAACAAGAAATAACACCCCCCACAGAAAAAAATCCATTTAAGCTAGTAACATTCAATAAATTTATTCAAAACTTACGTGAAATCAAAATAATTATACCGTGAACCATCTTCATTCATATAATCTCGGCTAAGTTCCAACAGCATAATAGGATACATAGCACTGCGAACAAGTTGACGTTGATCACTGATTTTTAAATAACAAAACCCTATACAAAAAAATCAGGGGATAATAAAGCAAGATATTGGATGAAAATAATCATGAGAGATTAAAGAAGACAAGAGGGGTGAACAGGATATCAATCGTGATTGACATGACAACACATCTGGAGAAAATCTTTGTGAATTTTAATTTAAAATTAAAGCTTGGTAAGTAATGAAATCTTGTTAGGTTAGTGTGAGAAAAAACCCACTACTAAGGTTGTAGTTTCACTTCACTTTGAATCACCGACTGTTGCATAAGTATTTGTCTGTAGTAATGGAAAATTCTCTACCAAATGTAGCTAAAAGGCATATGTCAGAAATGCTCATAAAACTTGCATTTGATTTAATACACTTTTCATGATCAAAGATAGCTAGATACACTAGAACAATTAATCTACTCTTGCAGATAACACCTCAGTTGGATGGATGTGTCTCAAGTCACTTTTCTTCTTCCTTTCCGTTCCTAGTGGAACCATATGGGTTTCAAGCTAGAGTTTTGAAGTTTCAGCAGCAGTGGTTTAATTTTTGCGGGCGTGATTTTGCTAACCTCATGCCTGACCACATGAGGCATGGCTGGCGAGCATTGTACTGTCGAACCACAGAGGCAAGTATATGTTTCCACCCAGGCGCTTGTTTTCTTCTCAAAGATCTACTTCATCAATTTTAAGCCAAGTTTCCTCCTTTAAACATCACTACACATACTTCATTCTGGGGCGACTAGGCTGAAGAGTATCATTCGCCCTCATAGCCTGATTTTATAAGAAATCTGTCCCGAGGAAATGAGTTCTAACATATCACTAATAATATTTAATTTCGATTTTTTTATTATAGCTTGATTCCACACTGTATTTTTGGTACAAGTATGGAATTTTTAGCATGTGATATCAGTAGCTCAAATTTCGTAGGCCGACCATTGCTATTAGGTGTGTGTCGGCAGGGGATTGAACACTGGACCATGTGCAGGGTCGGCGAGAGTCCTAACCACTGTGCCACCGATGCGCTATATTAATTTATTCATTAAACTATTCTCATCTTATCAATTTAGAATGAAAATAACCGTGTTAACTACCTAAATTAACCATCCCAAGCAATAGTATTCTTCAATGAGTTAATCAGTAGATATTCTTGCATACTCATCAAGTGAAATTTGTTCGATAAGTCCACTGGTTATATAATTTTTTACCAATGACTTACTTCCAAAGCCAATCACCGCCTACTTATGATGCATGCATCATAAATGCTAACTCCATAATATCTAAGTTACCACCTACTATTCACAATTAACTAAGGCATAATAGACAATAGACTTAGAGAATCCTTACTAAAATCAAAAATCGACCACACATAGAATATACAATAACAACACGATTAATTAATTAACTAATCTAGGTAATCTATCAAAAAATGTTAGACAGATGACAGAAATTTGATAGAACACACAGAACAGAAGAGAACACAGGCAAAAGAAAAACTCAAAACACACGCAATTTCCAACACTTGAATCGGGAGAGAAAAATTTGCACAGCTGTAACAAGTTTTCCATTGCCACCTCAGAGTATACAATAACAGTGGTATGCATTCACATAAAAAAATAGTTGAAAAATCCATATAATAATAATGATGAGTACGAATATGTTGATATTAAAAAACTAACTTATTAAACAGTTAATTCTGACAAGTTGATTTCGATAAAATATCAATATGAAAATAGGATGACAGAGCACATTGTCAGTCAGGGTACTGCTAATTTATATCATAATTTGAAGGACATGGGGTTTATGAAAGAAAAGACACGCGCGTGTGTGTGTAGCACATTCCAGTCATTCTAATTGTTAGTTTTATACAGTGAACATTACAGGTTATGTGCCCGACAAATCATATGACGCCTGATGATGACATCACCAACACCCAGTTGCCAAGGTTAGAAAGTGGGTGAAGTAGGATTCGAGTCTCTTGACCCACTGATTAAAAGTCAAGTTGGCATAAATGAACAATAGAGAACACAGTGTGCGAACGCACCAATGAAATGACCTTGAACACATACCAATCGTTGGATTACAGAGCCTACCGTGTATTCTATACGTTTATTTACGAGAAGAAAATAACATATTAATAGTAGAACACATTGAGGATGATATTTTGCTCTAACGTAACTGAAAAATACTTTCCAATTACAATGAAGGATATCAGTTTTCAAGTTTCATAGCTATCAAAACGGTTACATCAGTGCCCTCCTGCCATATATTTGTTTACAAGAAAAACACAGATAATAACAAAACATTCTAAACCTAATTCTGAACACAAACCTAACTCCAGTGCTAATCCCAGCCTTAAGTTTGCTGTCAACCCATGTTCCAAATAGTACCTAAAAATGAGATCAGGTTGAAGGGTACACATTCACATTCGTGCACACCATTCATATTGGTGTTGTTATAACGGTAGTTTCAGTAATCCAAAGAATGACATGCAGTCAAGGTCACTGGTGCATTTCAACTCCGTGGAGGCTATTTTTTAGGGCGGCCGTCAAGTACTTGTATATCCATTTACAATCCACGAGAATGTGAGCAAAGTGCAGAATTTCGCTAACAACCAACTTTGTTTGATTTAGGCGCTAAAAAGAGGGGCGTTGAGAAACAAATATAATGAAACAAATTGTCACCAATCTTAGTTTAGACTTAAACCCACTACTACTAATTTCTAAAAATTAATAACAGTAACTGATTCTATCGGGATAAAGTAATAAGCAGTCATTTGGGGCTCGTCAGCTGGATGTACATGCGTTAAAACAACACTAAGATATGTTACAAAATATTAAAAAAACAATACTACTAAACCTCGGTTATTTGTTGTTAAAGCAGCTACTAAAATAAATATCATTTTTGATTGGATAATTCTTAGCCCATTTTCTTTGCATCTATAAAATAGTATTGACCTAGAAAAGAAGTTGTAAGGTCAGTAAGACACTCAGACAATGGATCAGAATCTTCCATTATCATAGCTTAAAAAGCCTAGATAAATTCCAAACTGACATTCTCTGTCTAATATATGAAAATATTATTATTACTATTATCATTATTATTAGGATATTACTACCACAGACACAGTAAATACTTTTAATGAAGAAAAAAAAGGAGAATAATTTATTTGTAAGGGCAGTGTGTAGAGGACAGACTTGTTTTGTGAAGGTCATTTGTTAGCTGTACACTCACGCACTTACACGCATACACACATGAATACACATAGACAGACGCCATTTAATATGAAATAAGCAACCAAATGTTCATGTAAATGACCGAAGAAAAAAAGATTTTTTGATGAAGGTCGCTGATTATGAAGACATCTGTGCGCGTGTATGACGAACACATGAGAATGTATACTAAAAATACATACATATTTATGTGTAATTAGTGAAAATTGCGTAAATCTATCTAATTGTTCCAAATATTCTTGAAGAATAGAATTTGATCAGAAAATAATAATTACCTAAAACTATAAGAGTTCTTTATTTTGTGTATCTTTAGAAGCTGTCAGTGAATCCTGTGCCATTGTTTCACAAAGAATAACTGCTCAGATTCACTTCGAATAATGACTACAATTAAATGCGAATTTGTGTAATTACTAACTTCCCCACTCATTATCGCACGGTCAACTTTATTCAAACTGTATGGGTAGTACACAAACAAGGGGGTAAAATAGAACATCAACAACAATACTTCTCATTCAACTGCTGCTTTGAAGGGATTTGATTGATTATAGGATTACATAATGAGTTGACATCGGTAAGAGAACCATAGGAAAATCAACAGGGAGTACGGGACAGCCGTTTATTCCTAGTAGTTTGGGACACTTTGCCAGAACACACCTACCACAGGAGTTCGAATTCACGACCTTCCGGTTAGAAGATGAGCTCGAACCCCGATGAGTGCTCACTAGCGACTTGCACTATTCAGGTAGGTAGTTACCTGGGGTTCTAGTGAGAAGTCGTGACTAGTAGGGTGCATCAGGTCGGGTGTGAGGACAAATATTTGCCGAAGACATTGGCTAGGGGTCGCGCTATGTCGTGAATTGGCAGAAGTTGGAATTCATGGGCTGGCCATTGGATCGGGTTCCAGTGGCTTAATGGTCTACGAGGTTGCCTTGTAGCCAGAAGGTCCTGGGTTCAAACCCCGGTGGATGCGTGCCACTGAAGATTCCAAAACCGGGACGAAACAGTTGTCCAGTACTCCTTGTCAGGTTTTCCAATGATTCTCTGACCAATGTCAGCTCATGATGAAATTTTGTAAACAATAAGTTTAAATTTCAGAAGAGACATTAACTGAATACCATGTTATTAATATTCTCTAACTATTCCTTCTTAGTGTCCTGAGAATCCCACACAGGCAGTCTACACCTTCCTACATGAATCCAACCGACAGTAAAAGACTTCATGCTTTGTTCTGACCACGTCACCTCCTTTTCAATCCGATGTCAGTTAACATCACTCGATGGAGAAGGCGATGAACTTGGCATTCTTAACATGTGTTCTAGTCATCTCAAACGATGTAGCTTCACAAAACCATCAATCGACTTCACCTATACGCATAACTTCAATACTACTCAACACAGTAATAACACTTAACACGGCAAACTCTATGAACATAAGACTGAAAAAAAGCTATGATTAAGATATGGTAGCTATGTTAGTTTTTTTTTAAAATCCCGTGTAGGTTTTCTTGAAAACAAAGCAGATAAAATAATGTTCACACATAAATTTTAAAATTAATAATGGTGTATTGCGTGTGGCTTTCCTGCTTTACATTTCAAACTAGACATTACTATTACTACTGTCTGTAATATCCAAGTAGGTGACTAGCTAGCTAGCTAGCTAACCAACTAACTAACTAAATACCTAGGCAGTCGGAAAACCGATACGAGGAAATTATTGACTTTAACATTTTCACTCTGCTTCTCTGCCTTTTACTCCCTTTCTTATACAACACATTAAATGTCATACTAAGAAAACTGA